TAAATTAATCATATTAATTTATTTATTAAGAACTCAATTAGGGAAAATACCTGGAGGCCGATTAGGATGATAACTTGAGTTCTTTGATCTCGAACAATCCTTGCTCCAAAGTCTTGTGTTTAGAAAACCAATGTCATCCACGTCAATTACTAGAATCTACGAAGACGTGTGTGTGGGCACACCTGAGACAAAACGGGTTTAGAATAAACACTCAAATTTCCACAAACACCAACGCATGCACAATGTGGAATTTTTGGGAGAAAAATTTTCCTGCTCACTCTACTAGGGAATTTCGGCCACCCTCAGAAAATTATGTCAAAAATTGTCTCCAAAAATTGTGTCGACAATTTTCTTTCATTCTCTTATTTATAGAGTAGAATTCAAACTTCTAGAAGGAATCCAATCTCTATCTCCAAGATAAAGCTTGTTAATTATCTCCTATTTGAATTTGAAACAAAATATCCTCTTCCTTATCCTTAATGTGGCCGGCCATGCATGGGGATTCTCATCCCTGTGTGGCGCCAATTACAGATAGGAAAGGAAGAGAAAACCATCATTTATCTTGCAGTCCAATTTTGATTCAAATTCAAATTCCAATTTAAGTCAAACTTAAATTAATTTGAATTCTAAATTGAAAAACTTATCAAATAAGTTTAAAAGGATAAATTTAAATTATGTTCACAATTCAAATTCAAAATTTAAATAATCACATTATTTAAATAATAATTAATTCTTAATTAATTATTTTCGAGTGTTTAATTTTAGAATTCTGTAATTCTAAAATTCCCATTTTGCCCATTGTGTCTGGTAGAATTACTAGGATGACGCGAGGACTAATGGAGCTATAATCCCGAGATCCAATAAAATTAATAATTAATTAAACACTTTAATTAATTAATTAATTATATTAATTCCAATAGTTACTACACTATAAACTTGGAATTGCACTCTCAAAATTATAGACATAAATTATTTCTAAACTATGAAGTGTCCATTTGATATAGTCATTGCATATAGATCAATCCTCCATAAATAATTCATAATTAGAATCAGGTAGAATCCGTTAACCTCTCTAATTATATCTTCATCCTTGAATACCATTGATTCTCTACTGGATAGTGATTCATAAAACACATTCATGAACCAGAGCGCTCTAACTGATCCAAGTACCGAATCAACACTTAAAGAGAATTATTTATCTACTTATTTTTCAAGAAGGAATGGATTCCATCTCGTATAATAACATTCTCAGCTACCTACTTTATCATGTCTCCAAAATACAAGGAATAGGATTCAGGGTCTCAGAATCCGTACCGAGCAAATAAAAAAATACAAATCCATAAATAGGAGTTTGCTAAGAACTCAGGATTAAGACCATTCTATATATGACCATCGGTAGACTCAATTAAGACCATCATATATATGACCATCGGTAATGTTCTAATTAAAGATTTTAAACTTTAATTAGATTTATTACGAACATCACCTTTTGATTATTATCCTTAAATATTATCCTCTCGTATACAACACTTATATACAATGTTTAAGGTTACATAAATAATCACGGAAGTTTCATTTGATCTTCATAAAATATTTATAAATATATGCACATAAAATGATGAATAAACTCTTTTATTAAATAAATAATAAATATCCTATTACATCTCATGCTTCTAGGACACCATTCCCAACAATGACATCATGCTTAGACGAATACTAGCGCTCTCTACGTTTAGTGGATTGCCCCAAGATGTGTGCATTTTGGCTGAGGACTTGATGGTGGCCCTCATTATATTGCCATTCCACAAGAGCCTGTGAGCAGATGAGACTTTGGATGGAGGCCATTCCGGTTTTCGGTATGTCAACCATAAGGTAATGAAGCATTTTCATGGACCTTCAATAAATTGACCAATGTCACACTTAAAGAATGACTAATATTACCATAATCAATCTCTTGCTCCTTGATGATGGCTATATCTTAAATAGGTGCTGAGGAATGCCCCTTGCTCGGTAGGAATACTCGTCGATCGGGGTTTTGGATTGCTTGGGAAAATGTCAACATCCTATACATCTCTCAATGTGGCAGTCATCTTCATTGATGGTAAAGATGACAAGGAAGCTCTAGCCTACGCGGTGCGCGTGGCACGACACCGCAGAGTAAGGCTCACTGTTCTTGGTGGACACCAACTTAGACAATTCCTCAAGAAGGGCTGCAGGCAATTACAAAATCAACATTTCTGAGCAGGAAGAGGAGACCAACCTTGATGATGAATGTTTTGCTGATTTTTATGAAAGACACGTTAGAGGCGGCCATGTCTCCTATTTGGAGAAGCATCTTGCAAATTCAGTTGAGACATACTCAACATTGAGGTCATTTGAAAGGCAGTACTCCCTTGTTATAGTGGGAAGAGAGGGCAGAATCAACTATGTGTTGACTTTTGGTATGAGTGATTGGCAACAGTGCCCCGAGTTAGGCCCCATCAGCGACGTACTCTCGGGGTCGGAGTTCTCGGCCACAACATCAATTATGATCATCCAACAACACAATCTAAGGGGATAATTAGATGGTCTTGATGATGATTTCTCAATCATATAAAGTTTTATTTTTTTTGTTTTTATTTTTTGAAACTAGACAATGTAGTTTAGAAAGAGCTATAGGCATACTAGTTGTACCAAAGAAATTAATTATTGTGTACAATCATAGTTTGGTAGTGTTAAGATTTTAGTTGACAATTTATTGGCATTGATTATAAAAATTTAAAAATAGGTACTTTTGGCAACTAGCATTTATAAAAAGGATTTGAGGAGATTTGATTACTTTTGAAATCATGAAAATTCATGGAGATTTGGGATAAGTTCTTTTTTAGGAAAGAAAAGATAGTTTTAGTATGATTGAGATATTTAAATTTGGAGATTTTACAGATATTATGAGATATAATTACGTGAAAAAAGACAGCACATTTGGGTTGACAAATCCGAATTAATGGATGAGGAAAACTAATCACGTGGAGTACAAGAATGTCCGAATCAAGCTTAGTTTATCCTTGATATATATATTGTACATGTACGTGGAGTGGTTTGGCTTGCTTTTGGAAGGTGCTGTACAAGAAGCAAATATGGGATATGGCTTGACAGCTTGCGTAAAGGAAATGATTTGAAATTCAAATGTGGTGATCAAGCTATTGATTTGAAGTTAATTTGAAATATGAATAAAGATAGGGGCTGCGAGTATATTTAGAGATGAGCTAATTGTGAGTAATTAGTCAAGAGAGAATCGTGAAAAAAGTGTAGGATAGTCAAATTCAGTTTGAATTAATTCTTGGAGGATGTTGTGAAGCCTTATTTTTAATGCGTCTTTTTGCATCACATTTATATCGGGGATTGAATAGAAGATCTTCAGAGAAAAAGCCTGTGAGTTTGAGAGCTTTGAGCGTCATTGATTTCGTCCTTCAGGAGAAGGATTAAAAGCTTTCGGGAGAAAGCGTACTGCCAACCGATGAGATTTCACTGTGCAATTTGAAAACGAGTAGTGCTTACTGGACAAGACTATTAAAGAGATTCGACACGACGATAACAATGTCAAGAAGAGAGTCTATGGGTGTATAAGTTCGATTGATGTTTGTAATTTTGAGACTTAGTTGATTGTTCACTGTCTAAGCGTGGCCCCGCAAGTGTAGGTGTGCGCACCGAACTGCGATATCAATTCCTGGTGTTCTTTATGTTTCTCCACTATTATTTCATGTTTGATTACTTTGACGTGTCTGCACATAATCATTATAATTAATCGTCAGTGTTATAAAAAGTACTAATAACACTCTCTGGAACACCTGTGTAAAAAACATACATTTCAGATAAAATTATAGAAATTTATCAACGTTGTTAAGACAACTTAATTTAGTGTATAAACGAGTCTAGAAGATTAAAGAGGCAAATTAGTATAAAGTCAATAGTACTAATAAACAGAAATCAAACTTCTATAGTAATCTTTTTTTGATCATTTAGCCACAAATTAGTTTCAAAATTCTCTGAAATTAAACTCCCGTTAAAAATTGGTGTTAATTCCGTCTCTGTCAAAACCTGAGACTACATTGCCAAGAAAAAAAAAAAAGAAAGAAAGAATGAAAGTGGCAAAGCATGAAAAGTTTTGGGAACAACAGTATTGATAAACTTTAATTTAAACATAGTTATATTATTTGTTTCAATTGTAATATCGGATCTGTGGTTATACCGGAATAATTATATATATATATATATTTTTTGTTTTTTAAATGAGGAACTATCCATTCTACGTCCCCGTGGCTAATACTCAGAATCATACATACATGGAAAGTATTATTCATGCAATCTACGACTAAATTTTTACAAGAATGTAATGCTTAGCGGTTTTGATATATGCGAGTTAGTTTATATTAGGATATCCAACTCTTTTTTATAAATGTTATCTATTAATCCACGTAATAACTAATAAATAACTAATTAAAATATATCCACAAATATATAATTGGGTAAGTTACCTAGACCATCAAATTGAGAAATCTCCTAATATTAAAAAGAATAAAATCAATAAAAATAGAATAATAAAATCAACAACAAAAAAAAGGGGAAATATCGTACAGGCTACAGGAATGAAATGGGACGTAGCCCTTTAAATATATGCGAGTTTATATATATTATCTATTAATCCAATTAATAACTAATTAAAAAATAAAAGAAACGAGAGAATACAATGATTTGACATTGTTTATCCGCAAGGTGTCTATATCCACAAACATATAATTAGGAAAGTTGCCTAAACGATCAAATTGGGAAATCTCCTAACATAACTTAAATAAACGATAAGATCAAAATATTGAAAAAGGTAACTAATGTTTACTTTCCCTAACAATACCAATGGTTTTCATCTATAAATGTAGCATCTTAACGATCTCATGACTCACAAAATATTCAAGCCTTTCATTCACACGTATAATCAATACTACGTTATTATAGCTTCCTCAAAAATGGGTTCATCTTCTTCAAAAAATACGACGTGTTTTCTAGTGATGATGCTCATGTTGTTGTTCATCATGCAATATGTTAAAACGACACATTGTGCAACCATCCCTTTTAACGTAATTGTTCAAAAAGATAATTCAGGCAATTTTACCACAGTGAGCGACGCAGTAAAAGCAGCCCCCAAGAACAGCAAGACACGCTACATGATCAGAATCAAACCGGGGAGGTACAAAGAGCACGTCGAAATTGAATCGGATTTGACATACATCAGTCTAATAGGAGACGATGTAACTACAACGATCATCATCTTTGACCGCAGCAATGGTTCAGGATTCAAAACTAATGAAACAGGAACACTAAGTAAGAATATTTGTCACCTCTCGTATTAAACGTTATATATATATTTTTTTTTCCTTTTTTGCTAGTTTATTAACGTTGCAGTTTAATTTCTTAAATTCATCTTACAGTCCCATCCTTTTTGGTTTAGTTTTTTACCAACTAATTTTTATTTATTTTTTTAAACTAATTTATACTTTGCACGTGTCTAAAGAATTATAGGCTCCAAGAACAGAAAATTAATGCATTCAGATTAAAAAAACAACATATCTTTACTGATCAACGTCATTAAAATTTGTAGTGATTGTATGTGTATAAATTATTAGTTCTATATATTTTTATTTCTATGATATATCATGTTTTGGAATTAGGTGTCATGGGGCAAGGTTTTGTTGCAAAGTCGTTAACCATAGAGAACTCGACGGGCCCACAGAATCACCAAGCTGCTGCATTATACAATACAGCAGATCAATCGGCCTTTTATAACTGCATATTCCTTGGCTACCAAGACACCCTCTACGCAAAGGAAAACCGTCAATTCTACAAAGATTGCAAAATCTACGGCACTGTCGACTTCATCTTTGGTCACGCTAAAGCCGTCTTCCAAGACTGTCACATCTACGCTCGTCCGGAAACCTTAATCACCATCACCGCGCAAAACCGAGCAAGCGATAGTGAGGTCAATGGCTTCTCCTTCCAAGGCTGTCATGTGGAAGCCACTCTAGGGCTAACACCGCCGCAAAGGGCAAACTTGATAGTCTTTCTCGGTCGTCCGTGGGATAGGTACTCGACGGTGATTTTCATGCAGAGCATTTTCGATGACATTGTGGACCCCCAAGGGTGGACGGAGTGGCCCGGAGTTTCCGTTGATCACTTGTATTATGCCGAATACGACAATAGCGGTCTCGGTGCCGACACTTCAAAGAGAGTGAATTGGAAAGGTTACCATGTCTCAAGAAGTGGATGGAAGCTGATTGGTTTACGGTGGCCAAGTTTATTGATGGGAATAACTGGTTTCTGAAACTGGTGTACCTTATAGGGGTGGATTACGTAGTGTAAGTTGATCACTCGGAGTTATAAGAAATTATAAGTTCAATAAGTAATTAAGATTAGTATTAAAACGGTGGTAGATCCTAAATAAGTTTATGTTATTAAATTAAGCAGTATGTTGTCTAGTTGTTAATAGGTTTATGTTTTTTGCATTAATTTCAGTGATCTTTATTATAGGGATTTCAAATTTCACTATATTTATATATCAATAAGTACTTGTTTATCTCTCGTGTTTTTACTCTTATTTTTTGATTTTTTGGGTTTCTCTGGATGCAACTTTGTGAACTCTGCATTTGCAAGATATCTAAAAATGATTATATGCGCAGATTACAAGTTAATCAGACACAAATACAATCCAATCTAGAATTTGTCTATATAATAACGGCAATTAACCGACTACACTCGCTAATTTGTTACAAAATGATTGAATCCGAGTTATATACTGAAAATGCAATTAAGTTTACACTTGAATCAAGGTATGGCTACATAAAAACCATATTCTATATTGAAATTGAACCTACGAGCACTGCAGTTCTTGCTCGCTTGAATAGTCCTGGATTTTCAGTTTTTCAATTTTCACCCAGTAGATTTTCATTTTTTTTTTCAAATATACTCCCTTATGCCCCTTTGATTTTTGGTTTTTCAATTTTCACTCTATAGATTTTCAAATTATTTTTAAAATCTTATACTTTTTGGTGTAACCTAATTGAATTATTTTTCTTTAATTTACTATGGTTTTTTTTTTTAAATTTGTCCATTTTAATATATTTTTTCATATAATCTTTTTATATGTATCGAAAGTGAGCCTCACAAGAATAATTTAAATGACCTTTTAAAATTACATTTCCAAAATGTATTCCTAATTAAGCATTTTTTTCAAACAAAATAGCTTATCTAATTTCCCCTTGTCGAAGTTATGAACATCGTTTTTTTCCAATTATTTTTTTAAATTAAACACTTCAAAATTTTAATTCACTTATCAAAAATTCAATAAACTGATCAATATACACGTGTAAAACATGCTTCTAATTAGTTAAAAGTATTAATATTATTAGTGTTTATAACATTCTTCACATTTTTAAATTATACTCCTCTAAAATAAAATTATGATTCCACCACTGCACATATATATATATATATATATATATATATATATAGTCTCTCATGAATCTTACTTGGGATAGATTTGCGAGTGATGAAAGAAAAGAAACTAATCTCAAATAACAATTGGTTTGCTGAATTTTAATGAAATGTGCCTTGAATGTCAAAACGACATTAACTGTATATGACACGATTTTGCTAAATGCTGAACTTTGATGAAATAAGAAGAAGAAAAGAAAAAAAGAAAAAGGAATCTGTACATTCTCCAGGAGAAGAATCCGTTTTTGGGCTAGGCCATGTGAAAACGTTTCGTCATTTTTGGGCTAGGCCATGTGAAAACGTTTCGTCTGTTTTCATCTCTCCAACTCTTCCCATTTATTCCAGTTTTTTTTTTCCTTTTTTTATCTTTTCTTTTTTGTCTTCATATCTTTTTTCTATTTGCATCTTTTGATCTCTTTTTTCTTTTGTATTGCCTCTAACTTTTCTATTTATTGGGTTTCCTTCTAAAAAAATCTTATGGGTGCGTTTAAAATTCATTTCAAAATAATTTTATTTTTTATATGAAAATGAAAACGAAAACGTTTTCAATCTCAGACATAAATCATTTTTAAAAATGTATTTAGTAGTTTTATCAAAAAATTATTTTTAATATAAAAAAATCTAATAATATCTCTCGAGAGAGAAAAAAATGAAAATAAAATATGAAAAACGATTAAAAATCTTTTTTTCTTTTTCTCTCATTTTACACTAAATTAAAAAATCATTTTTATTTTTATTTTTTGTCTTTAATTGTACCAAACGCCATTTCTCTCTCGTTTTTATTTTTTTTTTCTCAAAAAACGTAAAAAAACAAAAATGTAAGAACAAATCTAACACCAAAGACTCGAGAAACCACAAAACAGAATCAAGAAAACCCAAAGAAAACAACACCAAGGTTTACCCAGGTTCGGTAGAAAATTCTACCTACGTCCTGCTGAGCTCCTCCACAAGAGAGCTTGATTCACTATTCAAGAAGAAGAATTACACCCTCTTTACCTCACCAGATTACAACAATCAGAGAAACTCCAATATTCTAGAAACTACCGAGAAATCCCATAAGTGTTTCCCAGAAAATCCCACAGAGAAAAATTCCTCTATTTACACTTGATTTTCTCACAACCCAAACACTTTTCTCTCTACAGATTTCCCTCTCTCTCACTAGAATTTACATAAGATGGTTTCTCTTTCTACAACCGTAATCTCTCGAAGAACTGAAGAACTCCTTCTCTGGAAGTGTTTTCAGCTTATATAAAATAAACAGAGAGAAAGAGGATGCTTAAGGCGGTGGGTGTAGCAACACACGTGTCATCCTCTCACTTGTTGCTTCTAGTTCTCTTAATAAAACACTGCGTTTTATCCTTGAGTAATGGATGAAAAACGACTTGTAGCATGCACCTATCAACAAGTACCAGGAATGTCGTTTCTTCATTTCTTCTTCTTATTTCTATTAGTGTTGATTCCAGAGATTACTCTCACAAACTCCACCTTGATCTCTGAAATAAACACTAACTACCTTGTTGAATCATTGCTCAATCCTTCTGAATCAAGTTATTCCAATATTAAGCAAATCCATACATTTCTGGAATTTGCTTGTTAGAACAACCTTTGTAGCCATGTCAGAAGGATTATCTTCAGTACAAATCTTTTCCAGATTTACCACCCCTTCTTCCACTTTTTCTCTGATAAAGTGGTGCTTTACCTCAATATGTTTAGATCTTTCATGGTAAACTGGGTTCTTGCATAAATGAATGGCTGATTGACTATCCGAGTAGATAGTTGCTGTTGTCTTCAGAATCTTCAATTCTCTGAGTAGTCCTTGGAGCCAAATTGCTTCCTTGAAACCTTCTGTTAAGGCCATATACTCAGCTTCAGTACTTGATAGCGCCACAACTGGTTGGAGTTGAGCTTTTCAGTTGATGCAATTTCCTCCAAGTGTCATGACAAAGGCTGAAGTTGACCTTTTATCCCTGTCTCCAGCATAATCTGAGTCTACATAACCTTCTAGTTCCAGGAGATTTGATCTTTGTTTGTAGATCAATCCGTACCCAAGTGTACCGTTCACATACCTCAACACCCACTTTATGGCAATCCAGTGTTCTTGACCTGGATTTGCCATATATTTACTTAACAAGCTCACTGCATAGGCAAGATCTGGCCTAGTGCAGATCATAGCACACATGAGAGAGCCAATAATACTAGAATAAGGCACTTTGGACATTTTAAGTTTCTCTTCCTCTGTTGTTGGTGACTGTTCTGCAGATAACTTGAAATGTCTAGCTAGAAGCACTTTGACAGTCTTGGCTTGCTCCATAGAAAACTTCTTCACTACTTTCCTTAAGTAATCTTCCTGTGTGAGTACTAAGACTTTCTGTGACCTGTCTCTTTTGATGTCTATTCCCAAAATTCTTTTGGCCTTTCCAAGATCTTTCATATCAAATTCGGAGCTCAACATATCCTTAACCTTTTTAACTTCATTAGGATTTCCACTTGTGATTAACATATCATCCACATAGAGGAGTAAGAAAACAGTGTTTGGGGTTCCTGTATACTTATAGTATAGGCAGGAATCAAAATTGCTTCTTATGAAACCTGCCTTAAGAACATGACTGTCAAATCTCCTGTACCACTGTCTGGGAGATTGTTTAAGTTCATACAAGGACTTCTTAAGCAAGCACACTTTATCTTCCTGCCCCTGTTCTTCATAGCCTGGAGGTTGGATCATGTAGATTGTTTCTTGTAGATCTCCATGTAAGAAGGCTGTTTTTACATCCATCTGCTCCAATTCCCAATTCTTCTGTGCAACTAGGGCTAGAATGGTTCTGATTGTCTTGAATTTAACCACTGGAGAGAATACTTCATTATAATCCACTCCTTCCACTTGTGTGAACCCCTTTGCAACTAACCTAGCTTTGAATCTCTTTGGCTCAGATTCCGATGAGCCCTCTTTGATCTTATAAATCCATTTGCAGGACACAAGCTTTTGTTTCTTGGGTTTGGATGTTAAAACCCAAGTATTATTCTTCCAAAGAGAAGCCATCTCTTCTTCCATGGCTTTCTTCCATTGCTTTGCTTGTGGGCCAGCTATAGCTTCATCATAGGTGCAGGGTTCTTTACACTCTAGCTCTGTTGCAGAATTTAGGGCGAAAGCAATCAGGCCACTCTCTCCATATCTCTGAGGACGCCTGATTTCCCTTCTTTGTCTGTCCCTTGAAAGTACTTAGTCATTTAGGTTTTCTCTTTCAGTAAACTCTTGACCATTTTCATGAGTCGCAGCATGATCTTCTTGGTCATTTATCTCCTGTTCTGTCTGAGTTTGATTAGTGTGGTCTTCAGGAACAGCCACCCTTGGTTCTGTGGTGTTCTCCACCTCAAACTGAAGCTCCTGAGTGGTCTTCATATCTGTGCCTGCATTAAAGGGAGTAGAAGCAGTATCTTTTTCTTCCTTAAAGAAAGGCATATCATATTCATTGAATACTACATCTCTACTAATTATAATTTTAAGTCTAGGTCCATCCTTAATGCATAGTCTGTACCCTTTAGTGCCATCTACATAGCCTAGAAAGATACATTTCTGGGATCTGGGATCTAATTTCCCTTCCCTTTGGTGTGCATAAGCTGCACACCCAAACACTCTAAGGTTAGACAAATTTGGTGGTTTTCCTGTCCATAACTCTTGTGGGGTTCTTAAACCTATAGGTTTGCAAGGACATCTATTTATTAAATAGCAAGCAGTAGTTACTGCTTCACCCCAGAAAGGCTTTGACAATCCTGCCCCAAACAACATACATCTAACCCTCTCCATTAGTGTTCTATTCATTCTTTCTGCCACCC